CGTGCGGTCCGAACGCTTCCAGCACACCTCTGACGAAGATCGCGCCCCATTGGGAATCCCACAAAAATCATCAAGCACGCTCATGTGCGGGCCCCACGCATGTGTCGGCACACCTCTCACAGGGATCGCGCCCACAGGGAACTCCGCCTACGGCCTGAGCGGGAACGACAGAATGCGGTTGCCTATGTCGGCACACGCCTTTCTGAAGCATCGCCTCCACTTGCGAGGCCCACGCACGGCCTGGGCGGGCCCAGCCGCAAGCGGCCCCCACGCCCACGTCGACGCACCCCTCGCACGAACGAGCCTGTAAATGCCATACGTAAGGAGGCCCATCTACGGCCTCAGCGGGCACTCCGGCACGCGGTTCCCCCGCCCGTTTCGGCACGCACCTCACAAGGATGGTGCCTCCAGGCCAGAGAGAGCCCCACACGCACGGCCTCAATGAGCACGCCCGCGTGCGATCAGCTGAACGATGGAACCGAATGTAAGAAAAAAACCTGGGAAACGTGTCAACGAGCTTGCTCGCGGCAAGAAAAGGCGCGGACGCAAACGGCTGAGACATACGAACGAACGAACGAACGATACAAACAGACGTGTGCTCATGTATTCGTTGTGTTCGCTGTTCTTGGGCGTCTGGGGAAACTGATGAAACGATTGATTTGCTGTAGCGCGTCGTTCACCCTGTAAGACTGGCCAACCCACAACCCAAAAGCCATTCCATGGTCTGCGCACCAAGGTACAATACTGTTGCGGGCAAAATCGATGAAACCGAACATCGGCGAGAAGCCCCACGTCCAAGAGAATTAGCCAGACGAAGGACCCAACCATACGCAGCTGCGAGTACGTTGAGAGATAAAGACGAAGAAGGGGGGCGCGCAAACTCCGAGTAGCTCTCATAAGCAGCGCGCCGCCGGAAGAACGAAGCACGGGGCAGTGCAGGCAAGGGTATAAGGGGGAGGGGGGGGGAGCGGAGCGGGATGGTGGGCTTTCAAGTCTTTCTCCCCCCTTTGTCCTACCACCCTGGAGACCGCGGCTCCGGGCAAAGCGCACCGCGGAGTCCCCGCGACGCGCGCTGGTTGCCCCGCAGGGGTCCAGGTGACGCGCACGGGTCGTCCGCTGCGCAGAGCAAAGAGAGCTAGCTGGCTGGCCGACAGCGGGACAGGCGCTGGCCGCTGTGCTGACCGACGACGGGCGAGCGAGGTACTGTGCGGAGCGCAGCATGGAGTCCGCGACGCGCGCCGGTCGCCCCGAATGGTTCCCAGTGACGCGCGCAGGTTGTCCCAGGCGCAGCCCCTCAGAGCAGCCTTAAGTTTGCACTACCGCGCCAGCCCCCCCGCACCCGCGGCCTCACCCACAGAAGACGCTCTCCACCGTATCCTCTGCACCGGCGCCGTTAAATAGCTTCCCTCCTGACAAAATGACCTCGAAGGGCCCTACTCTGACCCTGTCGTTGGGGCCTTCGGTGGAGCTCCCTCTGGGGCCACGAACCGTGTGAGGGGTGTGCCAGAATGGACATGCGGTGGACAGGGCGGGCGCATGCGGACGCGGCCACTGGGGCCTTCGGTGGAGCTCCCTATGGGGCCACGAACCGTGTGAGGGGTGTGTGCCAGAATGGACATGCGGCGGGCGGGGAGGGCGCATGCGCACGCGGCAACTGGAGCCTTCGATGGAGCTCCCTATGGGGCCACGAAACGTGTCGAG